AATGTGATTTCTTCAAAACTGAAGTCGAGTACCTTGGATTCGATGTGGGGGCTGAGGGAATAAAGCCATCATTGTCCAAGGTTGAAGCAATTTTGAATTGGTCTACTCCAGAAGGTGTCACAGATGTTAGATCATTCCTCGGGCTGATGAATTTCTACAGGAAGTTTATAAGGAGGTTCAGTGAAATCGCAGCCCCAATGACAGACCTCACCAAGAAAAATGTGAAGTGGCAGTGGACGGACAAAGAGGAACAGGCTTTCAACAGGTTGAAGAGTGCGATGGTCACAGCACCCATTCTCCGGTTATCAGACGTTGACCGGGAATTCACAGTGACAACTGATGCCTCTGAAGTATCAGTTGGAGCCATTCTACAGCAGGATTTCGGCAATGGACTGCAGCCCATCTGCTATGAGAGCCGAAAGATGAATCCTGCAGAGACCCGGTACAGTGCATACAAACGGGAGCTGTTGGGCATCATTTGGGCAGTCGGGAAATGGAGACACTACCTGGCCTGTAAACACTTCATGATCAAGACAGACCATGACACCCTCAAGAATCTACCAAACCAGCCCTCAGTGAACAGAAGGGTTTGGAAGTGGGTTCAAATCCTGCAGGGGTATGATTGTGATATTGTCCACATACCGGGCAAAACCAACCCCGCAGATTTTCTGTCCCGCCGCAGTATCAGAGATATCAGGAGCATGGTGGATGTGCGGGTATAGGAGGAGTCGTTGGTCCAGAGATTGAGGCTGGGTGAGGGTGATCAGACAGATGAGGCCATACAGAAAAAGTTGGATGAGGTGTTTAAAAGATCCAACTTGGAGGGGGATACAAAGGGAATTCAGTCATCAGTTGATTCTTCATATTCTTTATTCGTCACTCGTACGAGGGTAACTCTGGATTCAACTTTGAGAGAGGACATCAAAAAGGGGTATCAGACAGACACCAGGTGGGACGACATCATTACTCAGCTACAGTCGTCTCAAGAGCATACCATCAGAGTTGGCACTAGTGTATACCAGAAGAACCATGGATTATTGGAGATTCAGTCACATAACGAGGACAAGGACATTCAGCGCTGGCGATTGGTGATACCAGATGTTCCAGAGATTAAGAGGAAGATTATGGAGGAACTTCATGTGGTACCTTACTCTGGACATCTGGGATATCACAAGGCGCTCAAGAAAGTACAGCAGAATTTCTACTGGCCAGACCATACAGTGGATATCAGAGACTTTGTGTTGGGATGTCAGGTCTGCCAGATGGAAAAGAGCGTCCACAGATTACCAGCTGGGTTGTTACAGCCCTTGGAGCTTCCTGAGGAGAAATGGGCTGACGTCAGTATGGATTTCATCATGGGGTTACCCGCCAGTGAGCAGGGCAACGATGGAATTCTTACAGTGGTGGACCGTGCTACCAAAATAGTGCACTTGATCCCAGTTAAGCAGACCATCACGGCTGCTGATACAGTGAGGATTTACTGGGATCAGGTTAGAAAACTTCACGGGATACCACGTTCCATTGTATCAGACAGAGACCCCAGATTTGTGTCCAAATTCTGGCGTGAGTTCTGGAGAATTATGGGGAGCAAGCTCAGAATGTCCACATCTCATCACCCGCAGACAGATGGATTAACGGAGGCAATGAACAGGGTGGTGGAGATGGTCCTCAGATGCACAATCCATGAGTCTTCCGAAGCAACACACTGGGAGAAGAATTTATCCACTGTGGAATTTGTCATGAACCACAGTGTGTCACCGTCCACGGGGTATACCCCATTCTACCTGAACTACGGGTATGACCCTTGTACTCCGTTGGACCTTATTCGGGACAGTGATACTACCAGGATCAAGGGTGTCAACGTGTTTGTGTCCCGGATACAGAAGTTTTTTCAGCGGGCTATACAGTATGTGCAACGGGCTCAACAGCGGCAGAAGGTACAAGTCGACCAGCGGCGCAGAGAGCAGTTGTTTCATCCTAGAGACCAGGTGCTATTGAGTACAGAACATCTTTCGCTCAAGAACGCACCTATCCGCAAGCTCAGAAAAAGGTTCATTGGGCCGTTCTTCGTCATCCGCCGAATCGGCAAGGTGGCCTATGAACTTGACTTACCAGAGTCTTGGAGGATCCACAAAGTCTTCCACACAAGCTTGCTGCGCCCATTCAGGGTCTCAGGATGGACACCATCAAATGCATTTGCTGGATCAGATGAAATTGAGCCTGAAGATGATCAGCCCTACAATGTGGAAAAGCTTCTAAGGTGGCGTTGGACAGGACCCAGTCACAAGAAGGTCAAGGAATTTTTGGTACTCTGGACAGGATGGTCCATCGATGACGCTTCTTGGGTGCCTGAGGGGAACTTCGACTATCCCAGCGAATTGAAGAAAATGATCGCCCGTGACAAACCCGTTGAAGATCAGAAATAGGTCTACAATTGGGTAGCGGTAGTGGAACCGGTTTATGGGGACTGGTTTTCGAGGGCGAAAACTCCCCCCGGAGGGAGTACTGTTGTGGAATTACATGGGGGTAGTTACAGCCAGGTTTCTTGGGGCCAATTTAGTGGCCTTGGCTGTTCATTTATGGAGTATTCTGGGCGGTTGTGAGTTCCTGGGGACTGGTGGAGATATGCTGGAACAATTACATTACATTGTGCGCTTGTACATTGCGTTTCCTGGTGTGCTGGCCACCCAATGTAGGGTGAGTCAGCTGCGCTGCGCGGGAGGAGCAAAACAGCGCCTGTCTGACAATCTGTAATCGCTTTCGGACCCCAGCACCCGCGCTTGCCGCCACCGAGCGCGAGGAGCTCTTTCCGCCGGACCTTCGGGTCCTGTGCCGCACCCCGGCAATCCATTGGATCACAAGGGCCCACCATTGCGAGCGAGAGGGGAAGCGAGCGCCCCGAGACGCCACACCGCGAGGTGTGAGAGGCTGCCCATCGGCAGTGACCGGGCGCCGTCAGGAGGCGCCCATCGAGGCATCGAACCACCCCATCAGCCTCCATCCCCCTCGGCGAGGCCGCCCACGCACCCCTCTCCGGCCCACGCGAACGGCGCGGGCGGGCTGTCCGGGCCGTCGCGCTCGGCGGCCATCCAAGCATCTCGCTCGGAGATGCTCCAAGCTCCTTCGCCGTGCCAATTCGCGGCAAACACACTCCGTCGAAGTCGATCACCCAACCGGACGTTGGGGATCGCCGCAACCCAGTAGGCTTTGACGGCAAATAGTTGGCCGTTCAGGTGCCTTACTCGCCACCGAGTCGTGGCATCAAAGGCTGAGTGGAGCCAAAAGAGGGGCGTTCCGGGGCCGGAGGCCATGGCTCATGCCTCCGCTCCACCGATCCCATTGCGGCACGCGAGCACGACTTTGCCCGCTTTGTCCGGGCTGACCAAAGGCTCCCCCGGGCCCCTCCGTCCCTGCGTGCATGGATCCGCAAATATCCCCAGAGGGAGAGAAAGCACCGCTCCGCCATGGAGCATGGCGGAACCGGAGGGTCCGCCCACACCAAACGGGAGCGCGTTCGACCTGCCTGCCGAACGTGGGGGTGCTCCGGCCATGGCGAGGGAGGGCTTCCGACGGTCCTTGCACGGTCGGGGAGGCTGGGGTGTTGCGGCGCGCCGAGCAGACCGGGCACAGCGGGCATAGGCGGGGCGCAGGCGCAACCCGCGCGGACCAGATGCAGGAGGGCGCGGTCACGTCCGACATACAGTACATTACACGAAATGTCAAAAGGGCGGTCTCCCGTACAGGTGCAAAATCACAAAGTACTGTTAGCAGCCGCACACAACGTCCCATCACGCCTCACTGGACCCTTACACCCTGCCAGTACTTGTCCTGTCAAGGTCCTAGGACCTTTTGCAAAAGTTCAGGTCCATCCAAGGACACCTCCTACGGTTCATGGTCTTCTCAAAACGGATCAGGAATTGGCCGTTTTTCCCTACGAAAGTCACTCAAAAGGCCCTTACAAACCGGCCAGCCTCTCACTCAGGTTCCCTCACTACACGCCCTGCACACACCATGCCTCTTTGTCCCCAGCTAATTGTACTGGAAAATCTACCATAATCGCATACTAAACCCAATTCTGTACACCCAAATTCCATCACCGTCAAGCTGTATTGCATCCCGTCAGCATGCGGATCCAGCTGATTGGTTTTCGTCCTTTTCCTTGACCAGTTCACAGCCCAGTCACCGCCGTCCGTGCTGCCCGTATAGCGCTCTTCAATTGACGTCATTGTTGCTCATTCTGGACGGTTCTGATGAGTGACAATGCAAAACAGCGAGATGGAGGATGTCTCAACTGTAAATGCATCGATTCATGTGCACTGGAGAGAAGCTGAGCGTGCACACGTTTGCCTTGAGCATTCAGCAGCTGCATGACCACCAAATGTAATTGTATGTCATGCGGTTCAAGGTAACTTCTGCTGAGCACATTGGCCTTTCCTTTCTCTACGGTTTTCCCTCGATTACAGTGGTGGCCATTTACTTCAGCAGATTGGACTGTAATCGAACACGTTTTATGTTTTTAAGTTTTATGGGATGAATGAATGCAACCCCGAGCCCATGAAACAAAGGGAAATGCGGTTCTTTGTTTATTGCGCTTTGCTCTTGCCTTGCTCGCGCCCGGGAGGGTAGGGCTCCAATGGTTTCACAATGTAACGCTTCATCATCGCAGTCATCCCTATCACGAATGACGTGGTAACACGAGTCTGACAGGTGGCGACATTGTTGCCAGAATGTTCGTTGCCAAACTGTCGCTGACTGGACGGGGCGAGATCCCCAGTCGAGGGAGGACGAACTCCAACACCGCGCACAAGGCCACGGCCCACGGTTTGCTTTGCAGGCCCGCTTCTGATGCCTCTTATGGAGCCCTCGGCTGCGCGACACTTTTCCTCCCCGGGCAGGGTCGCAGACATCCAGCTTCCCCAGGAGGTTGGATCGTGTCGTACTCACCGATCGTTGCACCGTCCTTTGGGAGATTAGATAAGCAGGTGGCATTTTGGGTGCAGGTGTTGTCTGTCCTGCCTCCAGATACGCACGCTCAGCTGGATCTGGCCTATCGACTGTTTTCCTTCGCCCACTCACAGAGAGTAAGCTTTCGATAGCGTAGAACCGCGGCGCCCTTTTTCGCTGGTCGCTTGCGAAATGGTGGAAAATTTGTTTCTCCCCGTTGAGCGCGATGACGAAGCAAAGATGGACTTGAGCGTTGGTTTTGCGTCTTGAAATCTCGGCGCTCCCTGCGACTAAACAGATTGCTTCCGCATGGGATCAGGTTCGGCAACTGGAAGCTGAAGGAAGGCAGTTGAGGGACGCCCTGGTTCAGAAGCAGAACGATGCCGTCGTTTTGGAACGCAGACTGAAGGCAGCAGAAATAAGTGTGAGGGAATTGACAGATAGGGTGAGCGACCGCGGCGGAACCGTATTCACACCTCGAATGTTCTCTTCCGCTTTAATTTCAATCGGACATTAAGCAACTGACCATGATGCGACAGAGCAAGAGGGATCAGGAAGAGACACAAAAGCTTCAAGCGGAAAAATGCGCCCTCATCGATACCGTGAAGAAATTGAACAGAGATGTGTCCAAACTGGAGGGTTTGAAGCGTCACATTCTGCAATCTCTGCATGAGGAGGACCAGGTGAAGCAGCTTCTCCATCGTTGTGGGTACGGCATCCCTGGCCTCCTATCCTGTGAGATTCACAGCGAGTGGGACTCGGAATGCGCAGCGGGAACAGTGCATGGCACTTTGGAAGTTCTTGGGAATGTTCCCCATCTCAGTTCATTGTTGACAGGCAGTCAGGCTGGGGGCTTCAACATCTTCTGAGGTGGACCTTGCAGGGGAGCGCCTGGTTTCAAATGTGCTCAGTTTAGCGTCCACTCCTGGAGCACAGTCGAGCTCTGGACATCTGATGACCCCGTCGCTGTCAAATGGGAACATGGATGCTGCTTCAGGTGCTCGCTCAACTTTGTACAATGTGACTTGGTTTGCCCTGTATATACTCAGAAGTGCCAGTATAGCCAAAAGGTTGATTGATGTGTGGGTCTTGCTCATCGTTTGTGCAGGCTCTCTTGCAGGGAGCTAGCACACTGCCTTTTTCAATTTTCTTTTTTACCACTGGGTGCAGGAATTCTTGGGGCTGGGCTGTCTGTGAGCCGGTTATCAACACCTTCATTATGCTCTGATCCCCCTGGCGGGATGTATTCTCCGAGTGCATTTTCTCCAAGTGCGCCAAACAGAATCGATGGAAAGGAGTTTTTCAGACAAGCACGGTGGGATTCTCAGTTGTGGAATCAGAAGCAGGGCATGCATAGACCCACTGTCGCAATCATTGGCAAAACTGCGGGCAGTGTTGTGGACTGTGTTGCAGCATTCTGTCATGCATCAGGAGTGCAGCGCAACACACTTACTCTTCCTGAGCTGACGAGCTGGGCAGTAGAGGCACTGTCCACTTGTTGTACGTCCCCTGGCAGCTTTTATGTGGTACGCTGCACAGATACACCCTAACTGGCTTGTCTGCAAATCCTTCAACATATCTTTCCTCCCCATGCCAAGTGTTATATGATGGGATATTTAGTACACCATTGACTGTGAGGGCATGCCATTATGCAAGTGTAACAATACTGGGGGGCAAGTGTTGATGTGTTGTTTGACTGGCAGGGTGCGGTTGGCAGTCTCCAATGTCAATCATCAGTGCCAACCACTGGCAATTTTCTGGCAAGTACTTAGCAATGGCTGCTGTCCTCTGTTGGAGCAACATCTATAAAGGGCACTTAAATATTACTTGGGCGTGGCAGATTTCGCTCACAAGGATTCTATCCATCAAGATGTTGGTGTTCATACATTCTTTGGGCGTGTTCTGTTCTGCCCTTGTGAATGCCTGTTCTTTGATTGCAGAGGTCGTCTTCCTTACGAACAATTCAGCCAATTTCTTAAGAACATCAAAGAATTGAACCATGGGAGACAAACACGAGAGGAGACCTTAAGAAGGGCAAGGGACATCTTTGGCATTGCCAACATTGACCTATACAGTGAGTAGCAGCATGCTTTGGAAATGTTTACTGCCCTGAACTCACTGGAGGCTGTCCTATTCCTTGCCAATTTCCAGAGTTAACACTCAGTGGGGCAAAACTTGTATGGTTACAATCAAGCGTTGTGGCCAAATGTGATTGAAGCGTGGTTCTGAAAGTATTAGTGTTTGGATGATGCCTGCTTCTCTCCTCCCCTCTGCCCCTCGTCTGCAAAACACTGAGTGTAAAGAATGCAGTTCACAGACATCACCTTGATGATTCAGGTTGTGTCGGGCTCCGTCCAACCGTTGAATCCTAATCGCTTGCGCCAGTCCGATTTTTTTACGCTTGGATAGACTGTGCACCACAGGGTCACTTGTTTGTAGGCTTAATTGCGAAAGAACTGTGGCTCCATTGTGAAGTGAGCCATTTGTGCTATGAAGATTCTTTTGAAGGGCTGCTGAGTCGCCATCTGCCATCTCTGTGAGCCCTCATGCATGGGCAAAGGCAACCAATGGGGCCAGTGGACAATGGAAGACATGACCGGCTGGCTGTCCCATGCATCTCTCCACATGTAAAGCAGTGCGGGGCAGGTGTGAAAGGTGGCTGGCTGGCTTGGTTTCAACGTTTGTGTTCCCATAGGAGGTGGGATGCACTGCTGGGAGAGCACTGAGGCATGCAAACAAGTTCTGTCCTGCTGGGGCTGCATATGAGACTTGTGTGATTGATGTTCCCTCCACCTTTGCGCCTTGTGCATAGCCAACTCCAGGCTGAAATGGGTGGTGCCTCAGAGTGCTGAAGATGGATTAGCTGACCTGAGATGAAGCGAAACCTCGAAACCTCTGTTGTTTTAATGCTGCCAGATAGGTTCTTGCACCTACAGCTGTTGCAGAGCGAGGCAGAGTAGTGTTGCCATGTGTACGATGTGTTCCCACAGAGTAGCTGCCTGGCTTGTAGCAGTATCCATCGTCCCATTTTCACCAAGCGCTCAGCTGCCAACCACGGCCAGGTGGGCTCCCTTTGCGCACAGCCACGTGATTTTCCAGGTTCATCGATGCAGAGACACCATGGACACTCAAATGGATGTTGAGGAATAGGGAGCCTAGAGATTGGTATGCTTGAGTTCAATCTCAAGAGGCAATGCACAAGACAAAGCGAAAATGTAGAGAGTGGCTCTATTTCGTGCCCACAGATGTGGGTGGTTGTGTGGCCAGAACATAACATTGTGCTGGCTTCAGCTCCCAAACTTGATGATTTATCGAAATGCACCGCTACATCCGTCACAGGTGACTAAACGGGTACAAGAGTGTTGTGTTATATCAGCTGTCAAGTGCGCTTATGCATGAAGTGCAGTAACTGCTACAACGCTGAGTAAGTGGCAGTGTGAGGAGTTTGGGGAGGGGGCATCGCTTTGGTCTTTTGGCTGTGGAACCTGGGTCAATTTTGCGTCCATAAGGGATCGTTGTGCATACGGGTGCTTGGGAGCTGTTCAACTTCGCCGCGCTACCAGACTCGGTGAATCACCCAGGCGAGTCTGACACGCCTGCGCAGCGATGGGGTATTCACTGAAGAGAAAAAATCATCCTACTAATAACTGGAGGTAATGAGCAAAGTAGTGCTCGCACACATCTAGGCAGTACAAAGCATCTAGCAAGATCAAATTCCCGCAAGTGGATCAATGTATGCCGCCCAGATGCATTGATCTCCTGGCGAGAGCTAGAAAATGGCCACATAGAAGTATGATATACACAACGATGGGCATTTGTTGATTCTTCAATTTATCAAACAGCATTCTTCTTTTTGGCAAATGGCGCTATGGCAATATGACGAATGTTGTTCATTGAGCGTCTTAGAGGATTCGATGCACTTATTTTTTAGAATTCAAAGTACCACCTAATACGCTCAACGTTATTGCAAATGACACAATTTACCAAACTCCACAGGAGCCAAAGAGGAAACAGAGCAATACACTGAGGACATATCGGCAAGTAGCACAACACGGACGAGAGCACCACATAAACATTCATATGCCATTATTGGGTTCCTGGCCTCTCGACATGATTGTAGGATTTTCCTGCAGCTTATTTACTTCATTTGCAAATAACTCCTTGATGGCCTCACTGCCTCAAATCTCATTTTGGTATTTAATGTTTCCATAGCATTCTTTTGCATACAACCAATCTCATCGCAACACTGTTTGATGTGCAATGGCATTCATAAGCACATAGTAGGTCGCCACAACTTCGCCATGTGGTGTCTGCTGATTGCTTTCCAGGTAGGGACAGTAATAGAGGGCAGGGAACTCTATAGCCCAAGATTTTTTTCCGGCTCCATCCGTCTCCAACCCAGGCGTTGGAGTAGACATGACCGCCCAACTTTTTTTTTGTTATTTTACTTCTGTAACTTTTGTGAACACAAACAATCCGTCTGTCGACTTTTCCTAACTTTATCAGGGCCGGGTTTCTGTAGCCATTCATGCCATGTCAGCTTTCAATTTTTTGGCTCTGGAGCTGTCCATCAAGGGGGTGTTTGCAGCCAGTGGTTTCTGTAAAAGCATTTTTTTTCCCGCTGTCTTTCCAGACATTCCGTTGCTATCTGTCAGGGACTTTGAGATTTCGGTAGTGTTCCGTTGGTCAGCGGCGGTTTCTGTTGGAGGCAATTTTTTCCAAGTGGATTTTTTCTCTGTGTCCAGCAACCCTTGCCTCCAAATACAGGGCACAATACTGACATAACGAGTTCCAATATTTCAACGTGTTTAAACAACGCATGTCTACCTATTTGCAGTCCACGCCATCATAAATAAATATGCATAATAAATAAATATACATAAAAATTGCCTTGGCCGGTACTCCTTGCCAGACAGGGGACGCAACCCGCTGTTCTTTCCCGGCCATCCCTTGCAAATGCTAAACTACTATTATTAACACACCTTGGGCCCCACGGCAATCCCCCGCTACTTTTTCCCGTCCAACCCATGGCCGGTACTCCTTGCAAATGCTAGACTACTGTTATTAACACACCCTGGCCCCCACGGCAATCCTCCGTTGCTTTTTCCCGGCCAACCCACGGCCGGTGCTCCTTGCAAATGCTAGACTATTGTTATTAACACACCCTGGGCCCCACGGCAATCCCCCGCTGTTTTTTTCCGGCCAACCCATGGCCAATACTCCTTGCTAGATTGGAGGCGTAACTCGCCACGCGCTATAGCACACATGAACACCTGCCAACACCTATAGTCCTAAGATGATCGCTCGCTGCGGTAATGAATGGCTAGTAATCCTTTGCCAAATGCATACATTCACTCGCAACAACTATAACAAAATTTATCATGGTACGTTATGTGATGCCTTGAACTTTGATGTGGTTTTCGATGATGTCTTGGATGCTAGTTCCCTGCGCCCAATTGGATGCCTCCCGTGGTGCAAAGCACAGGGGGTAGTGTGTTTCATTGATTATGAGTATCTGGGAAATACAATAAACGTTAATGAACAATCTCATCCTTTAGTTAAACTTACTAGAAACCCATAGGTTCTTGAATCAGACCATTTGGGTTAGCGGTAGTGGAGATATAGCCATTAGAAGTTTTAGTACTTAAGGGCACCTCCGCAACCGTACTGGGGGATGAGATACTATCGATACGCTGCATTGTCACGTGATGCGGGGCACGCCCAAGGGTGGCCCCGATGCCCGACCAATTGTAACTCTTGTTGACCACTTGGCTCCGCGCGGCTGCACCCGCAGGCCGCACCGGCGTCGCGCACCCACTACGCATATTGCCGCCCCGCGCCTGGCTGATCGCAGGACCAGGCCCACACTGCGCACTCCGAAGAAACGAGCGCCCCGGACTGCCCGCCGTCATTTGGCGGAGGAGGCCCATTCGGGCCGGATTGGGCGCCGCGGCGGGCACATCGCCTGCGCATTGAGCCGAAAACCACGCCAGTGGTTTCGGAGCCGGCGGACGTGGAGGATGGAAGCGCGCCACGCGGCACATGAGACGGGAGGGCCCCCATTCACGAGAGATGAAAGGAGGCCGGCCGGCCAAGTGGGCGCCTCGCGGCGCCGCCTGAATCGGCCAGGGGAATTGAACCGGACCGAGTGCCTGGCCCTAACGAGGGGGGCACATTCTGCTGCTTCTCACACCTAGCCCGATGGCGGGGGGTGTTGGCTTGTGAATCCGCATGCCGAGCCCGACGGCGGAAGGTGCATTCCGCGGGAATTGACCGCCGGATTGGGGCATCGGAGGACGCCACTTGCGAGGGGCATCCGGGCCTGGCGGCGGAGGTTGTGATCCGCGGACCCGCGCGGTGAATCGGCGGCGGGGGACGCAGGCTGGCAGGTGCCAGGCCCGTGGAGGGGCGCAGTGATCGGAGTGAACGGGTGGAGGCAGCACCCGGGGTCACGGGGGTCGACGCAGGCGTGACTGGACCCCTCCGAGTGATGTGACGGGGGGAAGTTGTGGGAACCCGCCCGCGCCAAGTATTGCCGGCGGGGGGGGGGTCCCGAGTAGCGACCTCCAAGAGGGGGGCGGCGCTGAGTAGCGACCTGCCAGGCCCTGCAAGTGACATGTGCCTCATCCTATGACTCTGCATCGTACTGGATCCAGGAGGAAGGTGATTTCCCACTCCAGGGAGCCTCCTGGGAAGTTTTTGCCTGCATCAGCACTCTACAAGAGCAGCTGAGATGTCCATAGACCCTCTCAGTGGGTAGAGAGCGGTTCTCTACGCCAAACTTGGAGTAGTTGAGGGGTCCATGAAACCTCTCAATGGGTGGAGAGCTGCCAATGACTCGACTGGAGTAGCTGGGGGGACTGTTTGCCCCTTAGCAGATGGAGAGCAGCTTTCTAGAGGACTCGTCTGGAGTAGCTAAGGGGGTTGATTGCCTCTCAGCGGGTGGAGAGCAGTTCCCAGCGACTGGAGCTGACAACCCCTACGTCCGCCCTATGACGTATTGCGGAGTATGACAGCTTCCCAAGAGGCTCAGTAGAGTGCCTGAACACCAGAGCCTGACCTACAGAGGCCAGTAGGGTGCCAGTGCACCAGGCCCAGGGCCCTCCGAGCGGGCCAGTTATAGTTTGGGGGCCGTCCCACTCCATTAGAGCACTAGGCCAGGAGGTCGGGGGGCGAAGGGCTGAGAGTCACGGACTGTACCTGACCAGCCTAGACAACTGTGAAGGGTTACAGGCCCGCCTGGTGGCAACAGTACCTTATCCAGAAAAAAGGCTGACCCCAGGTTGAAGCCGGCGGCCGCCCCACAGTTGTTAGGGGGGTGCCAATAGAAGTGGGTAGACGGGACACGGACCGGCTTGCACCTTACATAGCCCCCCAGGCGGCGGTCAGAGGGGGAGCTCTTGGTGCCTATTGCTCGCGACACAGGACAGTAGAAGAGCGGCCTATAGTGCTGCGCAGACACTTCTACTGCTCCTAGCCTAGACCAGTGCCCCCGAGCTGCCATCCGGGCGAGGTGTGGCAGAGGGGCTTCGAGCGGGCC